TTTACAGTAGGACCATAAAGATGATCATTTCTACAAAAATTGTTGAACCATTCATCATTTCCTTCTAAGCCCTGATATTCAAGTCATTTGCTTTTGAAGTACCGTGTCTAATTTCCTTCACTTCTTCTGTTAATGGTTGCAACTGGAAGATTCTCATTGTCCACGATTTTGTAATTCAGCATTTTTTCAGTATCATTTACAACATGAAATCTTGAATCACTGGAAAAATTTTACTTTTCAACCCATTTTTATTATGTTTTCAATGTGTTATCTGATTTTATAACATTCTAGAATCAGCAAGAGACCAAGATTTTGTATAATGATAAATAGCAAATATATGCTAATACTAATCGGGAAAGCATGTTTAGTAAGAGTTAGTCTTATAAGTGAGTAGTTTATTAGCAAATATTTCTTCTTGTAACAGCGTTTGCTTTCTTTATGCTACCATGTAACTCTGGGAACTGGAATAATGCTTTGATAATCAGCAACTCTTGCAATTTTGCCATCAGATGAAAGTAAGAGATGAAAGGTAAACAAGTTGTAGGACTGAAAATACAAATTGGTGTCCACGCTACAAATATCTATGGCTAAAATTATGACTGTGGGTGAATTAGGCCCTCCTAGGCAAGAGGCCAAAGGTTGAGGCATTGAGAGAATCATCAATAAGCTGAAAGTGAAACAGAGAAGACTAATCAATACATCAGAGCAGAAGCAAAAGAAAACCGTCCACTGGAAACTTAGGACTCTGGGAGGTAAAGACTAATGACAAAGGGGATGGCCAAGTGTATGTGATAGGGCTGAAAGGTCAGGAATTCGTGACTGAGCAGTTATCCACGTTAATAATGAGCACCAACTCCAGAAACGGGCTAAATAGGTAGACCCGACGCTCCAGGAGGTCTAGGTCAAATGTTAAGTGGACATTCTGTGAGGATTCTGAGAAATCCAGTGAGAACAGTCTATTTCACTTGAAAGCACCTAAAGTCTTGTGAATTCACACACCTTGTCCTGCCCCCTACACGCTCATGCTTTCAGCCTTTGACAGGGAGGCCTTATGCAGGTACCACACAAGGAATTCAGAAAGGATCATTACAAATCTAAAACAAGATTTAAATTACAGATAAATTTTGGGCTATGGTATTCCCCAGTACTGCCTTGAAAAGTAGGTAAAATCAAATATATAGAGTCAGTATTCTTCAGAACAAATGTGCATTAAATGATTTCCCCCTGTTATATTAATTGTACAGTTGGACTAAGTATAGCATATATTTATAATATTTAGTCTTCTTAATTTTGATACTTATTCTTTCTTAGCCTTACCTTTGTTATATGCTCTTTTTTCCTTAAATTGCCAAATAATAATAATAATAATAATAATATTTTGGAGTTCTAAAATTTGCTTAAACCATGCACTGAATTCAGCCAGCCTCTTTAACAGTCTCTTTTTAGCCTGCAAATTAGTTACTACAATAACGGAGATGACTCAAGCCCTTAATAAAGCCTTAAAAATGCCATCTCTACTTACAGCTGTCAATCAAATATCTCTTGCTGATTATGGAAATGGATTGGCATGACTTGAAATTTCAGCATTTTCATAAAAGCTATTGGGAGGTCCCATTCTTAGCTTCTCAAAAAAAACTAAATAAAAAGGAGAAACGAGCATTTCAAGAGATCTAATACATGGGAGCATTTAGAAGTTTGTTATTGTAGCATGAAAAGTGAGGAACAGAAAATTTCCAATATGTATGATTTCACTGGGCAGGGTAAAAAGGTAAGTGATACAAAGAATCTTAAAAGCTCATATGATCCCTCTTCTTTTCATGCTGGAGTCTCTAAAACAGGCAAGGCAGGAGGATCTTGAATTGCAGTCTATGGGCTCCTAGAGAAAAATTTTTGGGGGGACTTCAGATATCTTTGAATCCCCCAAAATCAAAGGGTTAAGTATTGATCTAAAATATATCAGAAAAGTCAACCTTTATAATGTTAACCAGTCCTAATTTAGTGTAATCCTTAGCTACAGATAAAGTTTAGAATATGACACTGGAATGAGAAAAAGTAATGGTAAACTTGGGATCAGGTCAAATTCTAGTTGAGAATAACAGCTTGAATTATGATGCTTAATGCAGTGGATTGACTCTGGCCTCCACTCATTCTCTTTATTGGCAAAAGGTTCTTGGAAAAAGTCTGAGGTCATCAGTTTTGAACAATGGCCAAAATGCCTATTTGAACAAAAAAGGGAAGTGAAAGCTCTTGGTACAAATCTAATGTACCAGTTGCTAATGGAAAAATCATATAAAAGATATTTTTAAATTACTGAATATTAAACTTTTAGAAAGCAAGGTTACATATCCCAGGATGCGCTCTTTATACCAGATGGGCCATCCACTCCCACAAAGCCTTTCTTTCCCAGCCTTTAGGAACACTGATACATTCTGTGTAACCACACACCTAGAATACCCCTAACTTTCATTTTCACCTTCATCCTCTTCTATCTCTTTATCAAAGAGGTAGATAAGCTTTTTTATTGAACTATAATTATTATACTATAAATATATGGTCAAATGATACAAATGAAAAATAATTTAAATACATGTATTTTAAAAATACTTGAGAAAGAATGAATGACTGGCTAGGGAAAAGAAATACTGATTTTGATACTATTTGCCAGAAATAATATGCTTAACCACTAGATGTCAGCCTTCTTTAAGCAACAAAGTTTATTTCACAAAGTTTGCAACATCAACAACAGTTAATTCCACTATAGGGGAGTAGTTGGCACCATAAGCATTAGTCACTCTGACACCACATCAAAAGAAGCTTTAACAGCAAAGGGTTTAGGGTTTCCCATAAAATGGGGGATATTGGGGAGGAGCTTCATGAGTTAAGCCTGATTTGAGTGTTGTTGGTCTCCAAAGCCACACAGTTAAGATGCCACAATAGTTAATAACATAATTTTCAAAAAGTTCAAGTTTGGCTCTCATACAAACATAAAATGACACACAGAAAGATCTTATTCAACTCATTAATTAGTGAGGGGACTAGTAAGATGGTAAGACCAGTACCAGACAGTATTCAAAGAATGGAGATACACAGACAAAGGCATGCTGAAATAAACTTGGGGATAGGTACAAAACTGTGTGATGTCCTAAAGATCGCAAGGGATAAACTTATGTGCTCTATGTCCTGCTTTAGAGAGATGACCTGTACTTGGCAAATGTCTGTAAGCTAACATGCCACCTCACTGTGAGCAATACAGTACTGAGCCTCCATGCATGGCTGAAGTGGCTGTGCTTCTTGCTTTACAGACATCATCCCCATTTTACTCTCACACTAAGTACCTACGAGGCAAATGCTGATATCTTCCTTTAGAAGCTGGAACGCTGAGAGGTCAGGGAACACTCTTCAGGCAAAGGACCAGCAAGTGAGCAAGCTGGAATGTGAAGTCTGGTCTGTCTAGATGATCTTTCTCCTGGGAGCAGAGACTTAACAATTACTTACAGTGTCTATAGAGGATGTGGGGATTCTACAAGAGCAGGCAAACCTGAGTATACTGCAACCCCTTTGCTCTCTCCCATTCCTCAGCCGTGATTGGTAAATAATGGTGACAGAAATCTCAAGTGCAGAAGGCCTGTGTGGCAATATCAGAGCTTACCTGCGAACGCTTGCATTCTCCAGAATTAGTGTAGATTACCTACCACACTCCCACCATCCCCACTGGCTTCCCCTTTGGCTTGATGTACTACATCAGATCCTCTATTGCAATGTAAGTAAGTGTTGAGTGGGAAATAGTGAGGATGGTGAGGTTTCGCATATAAGTGAACAATAACTTATATACTGTCAGTATGGAAAACATTCATGCCAAGTAAAATATTTTTAATGGAGTTTGCTAAAAGTGAACAAGAGACCTTTTAAAATATGCATGGCATTCTTATACTATATGCTTTTTATTCTTTCCAAAGAATTTGGGACCTGGGGATAAATCTAATGTACTGGCAATATATTTGAGGAAGATATCTGCCTGACAAAACACATTTCTAAAGAAAATGCTCTATTTCATTTTAAAACTTGAACATCTTGTAGAAACTTCTGACATGATTGAAGGAACTATAGAAAATTATCTTAAATTCTAGGATTTATATGCATAGAACATCAGAAATGTTAGGTGCTCCAACTTTTATTACTAATTCAGCTTCAATTCATACAAAGATTATACCACTTAGCCATTGACTGAGAAGACTCAAAAAACCAATCAAACATTATTATTTTACCTTTAGGAGACTAGACAGTCTCCTCATCACACATACTCTGATACAACAGCTATGAATGGACATTTTTCCAGAATACTATATATCTCCATACCAGAGAAAAATAAAAGGAGCACACACTTATGAGTTCCCCAGTAAATTTGTTGATGTATCACATTTGCATTTATTCTTGCTCTAAAAAATGCAAAAAAGTTATATAAAACAGCAAAGTATTGCTTTTATGTAGTCGGTCTGTTGTTCAGTGTTCAGCTTATTCAGTTTTCATGGATTATAAAATCTTTTAGGACAGAAGATATTCCTTACAAGGCCATCATATAATGTCTCTAGCTTCAAAGGTAAATGTAACTTTAATAACATATCACATTTAAGGCTCTACTAGGCACAGCTCTGGTTGCTTTTGATTTATTCATCAATTCTAGGCATCTGAAATTTTCTGAAGTCTGATTTTTGAAAAAAATTATTTAAGTCTGTGTTAAACCGTCTGCTCTACATGATTGCAGTGACTTGATGTAGCATTGAAGCTTCCCTTTTGGTAATTAGATTTCTTGTTCTACCAACTGAACTCTTTGGAAATACTTATTTCTGACAAAATGCATCATTGCTAATATAGTAGTAAAATAATGATAATGAGTTCAGATTCTCATTGGATCACATCTTAAAGAACTCACGTAAGTTTAGCATATTATTAATGCAAATGAATGCATCTGCACCAAACAAAAATCTGAAGATAGTACTCACGCAGGCTTGATTGTATGGGCATGTTTTTCATGGACAAAGGCTCCAGCAAGTCCTCCTGCTCCTGAATTTAAATACTGGATTGAAAATAAGTTAAACTGAATGGGTTAATGTGAATTTTTTACAAACATGAATGAACAATGTAATCATTTGACTCCTTTGTTATGAAAACAGCTTTTGAATGGTTCAAAATGCGTGATTATTTGAGATTATATCATAAAACAGAATTTTGGGTCACCTTGTTTAAAGACAAACAAATGAAGCATAGCATTACTAAATGAGAATAAATGGCTATTGCTTTTTTGGCCAAATTTTGCTCCAACTAGTAGATAACCATACAGCTGAAGTCTATCTGAATTTTAAAGCTCATTCAATGATTAAGTCACAAAAATATTTAACTAGCAAGAAAAGCATCATATTTGAAAAATACCTAAATTAAAATAAAATTGGTTCATCTCCATGCTCGCTGTCAATGAAGTCATCTTTAAAAGTCAATTCCAACTTGATTTCTTAAGAATATCTTTACATATGTAGAAATTTCACAACATATCAACAAAAATCTGAGACCATAATCTATTTGAATTAAGTTCTAATCTCAGAGCTTTTTTCCTAAAACCTCCTTACTTGTTCAAAGGAGACAGGGAATTGAAGGAGTAAGTACTCTTTAGTGGATGAAAATTCAATAATTTAATTATGTATCATATTATTTATTCTAACATATGCCTCCACAACTAACTAAAATTGGAAAATACAGTAATGAAAGAAATGGAAGAAAGTAGTTCAAATAGTTAAAATTGGCCACTGATCTAGTTTTGCATTTAGATTAATGTCTATGTGCAACAAATGGATGCAAATATATTAACTAGTTTGTACCTTGTAGGAGCACCAGCAGGCAAAATCAACTCCCCAGTCATGTAAATGGAGTTCAACATTTCCAACTGCATGTGCTAGATCAAAGCCAACAAAACAACCCTGGGGACAAACATAATAATGAGTTTTGAATTTACTTAGTGAATAGAATTAGTAAATACAAATATCTTTAAGAAAATCTAACAAACTGCTATGTCATAAATATGGTTCATCCTTTGGTGCAATTATTCACAAATTGTGAACCACGAAACCCGGGGCATTACTAAGACCCTTTCAGGTCAAAGCAATTTTCATAATATGAAAACATTCTAAGCCTTCTTCACTCTGTTGACAGTTGCACTCACAATGCAAAAGTGGTGATGGGAAAAACTGCTGGCACCTTAGCACAAGTCAGGGCAGCAGCACCAAATTGTGCTAGCAGTCATTGCCTGTTAAAGCCAAAGTTGCAAGGGAATGAAAAGATAATTTCACTTAAAAATATCATTGATAGTATTCCATTGTGTATATGTACCACATCTTGGTGTGGGGGGCATCATGGGGAAGAGAGTGTAGCACAGAGACGGTAAATAGTGACTCTGTGTCATCTTACTACACTATGGGCAGTGACTACAATGGGGTATGAGGGTGACTAGACAATATGGGTGAATGTAATGACCACATTGTTTTTCATGTGAAACCTTTGTAAGAGTGTATATCAATAATACCTTAATTAAAAAATCCTTGATAAAGCTATAAAAATAATAAATTTGTATTAAGTCACAATACCTTAATTCTTATATATATTTTTAATGTTTAATATGGGAAGTATGCAAAAAACATTTGGCCACATGCTAAAGTAGGATGGTTGTCTCAAACTAATGCACCTATGCAATTACTTAAGTTGCAAGCTGAACTAGCCACTTCTACTTCGTGGAGAACCAGTTTGTGCATGAAAGAGCAACTGATAGAAAAATAGTAATTCATACTTGAGTATTTGACAGACATTCTTCTAAAATGAATGAAGTGAGTCTGTCAGTTCAAGGAAAACTACTGAGAATATTTATTGTCAGTAAAAAAGTAGTTTCCAAAAGAAATTAGAATATTGGAAAATGTGCATCCACTTCTATGAGTATGTCCCAGTGTTTAAAGATTTCTAATGAGTTTAGTAGTAATACATAATTTTTAAAATATATGATAAAATCTGTACATATATTTGGAAAATATGCATAACTTGGTGATCCAATATTTTCCATACGATCAGTGCTTGATGTTACATGTCACACACAGACAAAAGATCTATTTAAAATGCAGAATCAACCAGTTGATTTTAATATAACAAAGTACAGAAAAGTTCAGTGATTTGTTTTCACCTTCTGCACCACAATTGCCAAGAAGTTCTCATTTGCCAAAGTCTGGTACAGTATCAAAGAATACTCACAATTAATTGAAAAGTCTATTAAACTACTTCTACTTTTTCCAACTATATATCTGCATGAGCACAAATTTTCTTCTTATGCTTCACAAAACAATAAAGAGATTGAATGCAGAAGCAGGTATTAAAAAATTAATGCCTGTCTTCTATTAAACCAAACAGTAAAGTGATTTGACAAATACAAATCATTTTCTGTTTGCTTTAGAAAATATACTTTTGTTTCCCTAATAATACATTATTCATGTTAATGCATAATAGGTTTGTTATTGTTATTTAAAATAAATAAATACATTAAATTTTTTTAAAATTGCAGTACAGTAAGTATAGATAGATATAAACACAGTATCAAAACCTCTTGGGGTTATCAAAAGAAATTTAAGAGTGTAAAAAGTTTGAGAACTGCTGCTTTAGTGAATCCTACTAATCTGAAAGAGTTTACAGTTTTAACTTTATCACTTAACCCCACATTATGTTCACATTTAATTTAATCAGTTAAATTATGTACAGGCTGTGGTAAATTGCCTTAATGGTTCTGATTCTTTGTCCCTTCTTGTATGCATGTCCTTTCTCATGGAACTTTTCATTTCCCCTTGCTGTGGGCAGGGTGTGATTTTCTGCTGGTGGCATCAGCCTGGTGACTTATTTGACCAGTGGAATGTTAGTGTATGTAATGTAGGCAGAATTTCCAAAGCACTTGAGTGGTTAGGTTTGCTCTCTCTTGCTCCCTGCCAGTTTTGTGAGAAGGGCTTGCTTGGACCAACCTTCTGGCCCAGAAGGAAGATGAAAAAAATGTGTATGAGAGTCATCTTCACCTGAGCTAAGTCTGTATCAGCTGCTCTCCCCACCACCCCTTAGTTGGCCAGAGATGCATGAGTGAGCTCAGAGGAGACTAGCAAGATCCCTACACAAAGTCCTGCCCAAATCAGCTGACAGGAAGACCATCTATAGCAATGATATCTTTTACTCTGCACTGTGTTGTCCCTGCATATTGACTGGAGACCCTAACAGCCACTTACTAACTCTATTCTGTCTTTTAGTTATTTACTTGTATGGTTTCCAATGTTTCGTAGTCTGCCTAGTAAAATTCAGTGTTTTAAAAGCTAAACTCTGTTTCCACTTAGTTCCCAGAGACAACCCAGAGTAGTGATATATTACCCAAATTGTACCAAGTAGAAACTTTCTAATTTTATGACTTACCATCAAAGCCATTTAGCTATCTGCATATCAAAAATGTTAAAAGTTTTACTGAGAGAATGTAGTACTTATTCCACATTAAGAAAACTTTGTATATGAACATGAATTAAAAAAGAAAAAAATAATCAGTAAATAGTAGTAATGGTTCACTTTGCAAAAATGTTTTACCTCTGAGTCTTATTGTTAGTGTACTAAGTGCACATATACTATTACATTCTTAAAACTAGATTTCCTACAAGTTTGAAGAAACACATCTATTAGTGAAAGTTTTTGATGTAAATAATTAGAGAGGGACCAATTTTAGATTGTTTGAACACCTCAGGAACAAATAACTCAAACTGTTATTACAAGTACTTTCTCTAGGAGAGAAGGATGCAAACTATGATTTATTTTTAGTAAACAGAGTTATAATTGAACACAACTAGTCTCATTTGTTTAGTAATGTCTATGTCTTTTGCAAGAGAATTGAGTAGTTGCAACAGAGACAATGTGGCTGACAAAATCTAAATAATTTATTATCTCACCCCCATTATAGAAAAGATTTGCTGACTCTTAATCTATTATATTAATTTCCATAAGGAAAACTCAACATATTGAAGAGTCAGTTAATTAGAAACCTTATTCATTATAATTTGTCAGAACTAGCATCTCATAAAAGAAAAAGTTCTTACAAGCACTATATAAATGATTTTTTTTTGAGAGGGAGTCAAGAATTTGTGCTTTGTTTCTCACACACACCCATAAAAATGAGCAATACATGTCATAAAAATACAATAGATGATCCATGCTAACATAAGTTGTGGTAATGATAGGAAAAAATACAATTATCTCTATTCAGATTTAGAGGTTATCGAAACCTAGGTTTGCAGAATAATATTTAATAGCTTCAGTAGATACACACATATACACAAACACATTCGCTTCTATTTTAAAGTACACTTAATACTGCAAATCTATTTGGGGAAAAAAGTTCTGTATTTGACATCCGCTTTTTTTCTCACCACCATTTCAAATTAAACCAATGATTTTTTTTTATGAAGCAATTTTTAGAACTCAACTTTTCATAGGCATGTTTTTGCAAATCAGCTTTCCTTAGGAAAGTCAAGGAATAGAAAACGTAGCACTTTTATTTTATTATCAATTATTTATAAAGAATGGTACAATGAAGAAACTGTGAAACTTCACCCACCGTATCTGTTATTAGAAGCCCTGCGGTCACATCTGTGGTGCCACATCAAAACATCACTGGGGGCTACTACAATGTTTTAACGCATGTACAGTTCTTTCCCAGTGATGGCAGAAAACATAAATTATTAAAATATAACTGTCTCAAGGAAAGGACCAGAAGATACAAATTTGAATGTAATTGTTACAAAATGATTTTATATAAAATTCGCTAGGTGGCAGCATCTTAAAAATTTTAAAAGAAGCAAATAGTTTTCTAAAACATCTCTAGAGACATCCAGTTAGTATTTTAATTATTTTACCCATAAAAGCAGGTAAAATAATAAGAATAGGTAAACACATAAACTCCACACTTAAGTGCTTACTTTATATGCATTAAAAAAATCAAGTACACTTTAATATATTTTTATTAAAATCACCCCCAAGGGCTTACACGCATATTTACACAACCGCATTCCAGCGTAGCAGTGGTTCGGCCACCATGCCACCTCGCCTGTGGGCAATCCCCACACTGTTGCTGAGGTCCATTGTGAATACTTTCAGCCTGCCTTCCTCCAGTGAACCTCCTAAATCACACGTGATTATAAGACTCTCTGCATCCCTTCAAAGAACCCTCTGTGTCTTCAGAATGTCACTCATTTTCCTTGGTGTGGCTTTTGAGGACCTTTATGACCTAATCCTTTCCAGCTTCCCTGTCTCAGGTGCTCCATAGCTTCCTTCCTCTATCTGTCCAAACCTTTTCCTCTGGAGCATTCTTTTCCTCCTCATTTTCTGGGTAGTTAAGATTTTGATCACAGGGCAACTTCTATGGGAAGATTCCACTCCTCCCTCTCTTCTTACAGTCCTGTTTGCATAGATCTCTTGCGGCAAATTTCCAATTCTGTTGTCTTACACTTTAACACAATATGAGCTCAAATAACTGTTGAATAAATAGATGAATAAGTGAGCAAATAATAAAGTCATATCTTTGTAAATAAATACGTTAAATTTTAACAGAATAAAGATGTTAAATTTTAAAGAATATTATTTGAGGACCTTTGTTTCTGTAACAAATTTGGAGCATAAGTTATTTATTCAGACTTGGCATCTTTTAAAATGCAGTTTCTTGGGCACTTAACAGTAGTTTAAAATATGCTCAAAATCCCTGTCAATGAAACAGGGAATATCATATGCTTTTGTTCTTACCATTTTCACTAGCACAATACTAAATTATTTTTTTTAACCAGTGAAATAATATTACACACACGGTCTGTGCTGAGATTACCATGTGATGACCTAGCTCACCGTCTCTCAAGTTTGATTTATTATTTGT